CTTTAACTTTGCTGACAGTAAACGCATTTTATAAACAAAATCAATATAAATATTATTCAGACCTGAAACAGTTTAAGCTAAAGCTAACAATCTTAAAACGGGTCATGACAGAAGGAACTTTTATGACTTTCAAATGTTTAAATTATTAAAGAAAATCCATTTTTGCTTTTAACAATTTCTTTTTGTTAAGGCTAAGTTTATGTAATATAGGCTTATAATAACGTGCATTGCAATCAATATATTTGATGTAATTTATGTTATTCCATGTATTCCTCGGTTCTACATCAGTTACAAACTTAACCTATACTGTACGAACTACAGCAAAAAAAAACCTGACTGCAGTGAGACATTATTAGTATTATATTATTATACACTTATTTATTTATCTGCATTGCTTCCCTCCACCCAGGAGTATAAATGGGTACCTGGTGGGGTTGCCTGCTACTGCGCCAAGATGGCAGCAACACTAAAAGCATGTCGACCCAATGACCAGGGACAACAAAGCGCTTTGTAACCTGAAGAAATAGGCGCTATATAAATACTTTTTTTATTTCATTTATTTATTCCAAATCAACAGCGAATCATCGCCACTAACAGGCAGGTATAAAAATCTAGCAAAATTCACAAACTTCATACAAATATAATAGGCCTATGATAAAATATTACAAGGTAACAAACTCAAATTTAAAATTGCTTATAAATTGCGAAGTACAAGAGCCATGAAAATTTTAAAAACTGTTATAAAAAATGTCAATATCATTAAATTGCATAGGAATCCTAGAAATAAAACTACGTTTACAAACATCAACTCTACTAAAAGGAACATTGAAAACAGGACAAGAATGCAAATTACGGGAATTCACATTAAGACCAAACAGTTGAACAAAATAATAACTAAAAGACGAATTAACACATTTGTTAACACTACAATACTAAAAATTGAAAGCGACTAAATTACAATATAAACTAATAATGGCACCAGGATTTTTAATGTCTCTGCAATGTCTCCAAATAAACCCAAGCATTCTGTTCCCTTTAGAAATTATATGATCAATATGCTTAACAAACGTAAGTTTAGAATCAATAACAACACCTAATTCACGATGAATAAAAAACTCTATCTAAAACATCGTCTCCAATATTATAAGAAGTGAAACAGACATGGATTTACATTTGGAGACATTCAGAGACAATCCCCAGTGCCTACTCCATGCAACAACATAGTTGAGATCTTCCTGAATACCCTTGGCATCCGCCTCGGAGCCGACAACCCCTTACAACTTTAGGTCGTCAGCATACATACGTATATATGGGATCTAAACAACGTACATTTCACATTATGGCTCTATTAATAGCGACTATGTTGCATGTTCTAAGTACATGTTAAGGTCATTTTGTAATAGTGACCAACTAACTTCAATTCACTACAATTGAAGATGCAGACTTTAGTTGCCAGTATACTTGCGATGTTTTATAAATAAAAATACAGTATTATGAAAGATACTAGAAACACAATTCATTTATTTTATATACCGTAGCCCCTCTCCCACCTAGGTTTATTTCACCTAAGAGTCGTACGATTTCTACGAGTTAAAACTCGTGATCTTTGGGAAGGACCTATACGAGCTTATTACGTGTTAGCTACGAGTGAGGTACGACTTTATGGAGTTGGTTACGAGTTATGTAGGAATTATGCCGAGCAGAGCACCGAGTTAACTACGAGATTATTACGAGCGTAACAAGTTTGTACCGAATTAGATACGAGTTAGGTACGAGCCAACTCGGTGCGCTCGTACTTACTCGGGCACTTTCAGAGGATGCATTTGTCAAGGGGTGGGGAAAGATTTTCCAAAGATGGATATTTTCCCCTTGTCCCCGGTGTTTTTAATTCTAATTTCGTGGGAATTGATCAAAACTCACTAAAATGTGCAATTTTTAGAGGAAATTGGGCCATGTTAACAAGAAATGCGCGCGAAATTTGAGGTTTTTAGGCACTTTCAGGGAATAAAGGGCATTTAAAGGGGTGGGGAAGATTTTTCAAAGATAGATATTTTGATGGTTAATGGTTAATGGTTTTTAATTTATAGAGCGCAAAATACAAAAAGTCTCTAAGCGCTATCAGGCAAGTGTAAAGATGGAACGGAAACTAAAACCACAAAATAAAAAAGAAGTGAAATTTGAATACCATGCCAGCACCCAAACCGAAGTATGGGGATATGCCCTCATCGCTGGCTAGGGTTCAATCTAATTGAACTACAGTCAGCACCTGTTGAGTCTCGGCCATCTCGGATTCGGGTGCCTCCTATCCTAGTTAAATCTATAAAAGCTAGCTGGCATGGAAATAGAAAAAAAAAAAATTAAAGGGACGAGAATAAGTGGGTCTTAAGTCGTTCTTTGAAAATCGTGACAGAAGGTGACTCACGAATAAATAAAGGTAACAAGTTCCACAACTTGGGCCCAGCAACCATAAACGATCGCTCCCCACAAGACTTTAACCGAAAGGATGGACAATAAAGATTGGTTGAGTCAGTTGTTGACCGGAGGGAACGAGTGCAAGTTGACATTATTTCCTTGACATCAACGAAAGTACATTGCACCCTCCATTCGAGACCCCTCTAATACGAAACCACGTTTTCAAAGAATGATATAACAATCTTTAATCTTGTAACACAAAGATAACCCTATACGTGGGGTGGCTAGAGTCATGTCATTATCATCCTCTATGGGCAACAAAGCAAATTATTATTTTTGGCCTTAAACATGCATCATCAACACCATCATAATCATCCCCACCTTCTTAATATTATGGTACCATTATATTACAATTTTAAAACTTAAATTATAAAATCTACAAAAAAAAATACCACTTAATATTCAAAGCATAATCATACAGTATATTCAGAATCAAATATAGTTAACTATACTAATCTTATTCATTCATTTCAAAATTCTTGGTTAAATGTCAATAAAAATTAGTATTTTTTCTTAACATATTTACTCAGTTTTAATAACACCAAAGAGTACAGAACTGCTAGAGGTCCGACTTTCGTGGTTCCGTCGGAACGTAATCCTATTTCAAAAAGTACTCCCACGAAGTGGCGTGTCCTTATAACAAGACGAGTTTCGAGCGAATTCTATTCGAATTCTAATAGTGCGCCCCCTATCTTGTGGTAGTAGTATTGTTTTTAATGTTTCATTGTGTGCACACAAAATGAGGGAAGTTGGACCATGATGGGCGGATCCCTTGCAATTCTATACTCGTTGATAACACATGCAATTGTTGTAACTAGGCCGAATAGTATAGTAATATCATGCAGAGAGAAAACGCCTATGAAACTTATGTTCCATGAGCATGGCTCACACACCGAAAAAATCTTGTGGCATATTTACATACCAATTAGATACAAGGACCCATTAAAATGCAGGCCCTTTCACAAGCCACTTCACATTTATTCCATGCAAAATAACTTGCATATTCCACTTACACGATTTTGAGATTTTTTCTAAATGAACCTTCAAACCATTTGCATTTTTTTTACCATTCACAATCAGTGGCATATTTAGGAGTCTTAAAATGGGGGACTGATGGGTAAGGGGAGGGACACAAAGGTGAAGTGGGGTGGGGGAGCTCGATGATTGGGTGAGAGAACTATTTGAGCGTGATTTTTTTAATTCGGAAATGTTCAATGAGTTGGGGGGAGGGAAAAAGTATTTTTTTGGGGAGTGCAGTCCTTCCTGCACCCCCTAGATACACCACTATTCACAATACTATGGAAGATAATTATGGTCACGACTATAATTATGATAAAATACGCTGAACTATGAGTACCTAATTTGGCACTCTACACTGGACTATACTACTGTACTTATGCAAGTTTTGTTGTTAGTAAGCCTCTATATTTTGATTTTACAGTACAGTAATTATACTTATCTACATCTACTGTTTTAAACTTAGCACCAGTTTATATTACGGATGGGTTTTATATTGCAATAACACAAGGCAATATAAATGATAATTACTAAAATAGTATGGAACTAAAATACTGTAAGACCCAGGCCCATACCTAGGGTTTTTTTTAGAGGTTTTGACCCTCCTTGTCAAACAATCCCCTTTGTCCAGCAAACGATACCTAAATACAGCACCTAATAACAATAAAAAAATCCTTCCATTTATTCCCAGTGGATGTTTTTTCCCTCTCGTTCTTTCACATTGAAAATTGCATTTTAGGATAATAACACTACATTCTAAATGAAAAGAATTAAGCTTTAAGCCTCTGATCCCCATTTGGTTATTAGGTGACCTGCCTTAACCCAATGCTCAGAACCCCCTTTTGTTGATGCTGGCTACAGGCCTGAGATCTTACCTGGACACCATGTATTTTAGTACCTTTTTTAATGTATACTATGCAACTACAATAGTATATAAAACTACAGTATATTGGTATTCTTATTATAGCTTTTACATACACAATCAATTGATTTTTATATGAAATTTTAAGATAATCTGTAAGATATTAGCCAATAAGTACAGCAGATGTATTAGTCTATTAATACAATAAAGACAAGAATGACTGCTAGATGTTACATATATCACCAAATCAGTAATTGAGTATTGTCCATTCAAATTCTACATCTATACACATTACTGGATATGAACATATCAATCTAAACTACACACAGTATACTATTGGCAAAACAATAAACAATCAAGATAATCCAATCAAATACAGTAAATGCAAAAAAGTACTTTGGTTCAATAGAGGGCACTCTTCAAAAATTATTTGGACTGGTATTGGAAGACAGTACAATATAATACTGCATTAAGTATCTTTTTAAAGTTGTATTTTATTACGTTATAATGTCTTTATTAACCCTGTTCTAAACAACATGAGTTGCATGTTAATTGGTCATTAAATTGGTAAAGTACAGACAAAATGTTTGGAGAAATAAAGCATTGTGCGTCACTAGGATAACATTAAAAAGTGCTGTCTTAAAGCATTGGCCTGTTGCTAGGTAACTTTTAGGTGGTCAGAGTTAGCCTCTATTGGTCAGTTTTAATCCTCCTGATTTTGGCCGACAGTTCTGTATAAATTTGGTTCTTTAACCTTCATTGTAAAAGACAATTGGTCGCATTGCTCACTACATTAGGTAGTGATAATCTATTAAATTTATGTCATAATCTTTTATACAGTAATTTTAACACCTAGAGTATGCTATATTTTTTTAGAACAGAGTAAAAATAGATTACCATACATTGCAAGTACTATAGGAAGGAATTATCCACTCGATTTGGCAGGCATATCCTAAGTACATATAACACTTCCTTCTATATACTATATTCTCAAGATTCAATCTTTCACTCAATGGGATTGTCATGGAGTATAAACAATGGTATATTCCTATACAAAAGCACTCTGAGGCTTTGAATTAACTGAAGGGGATCTCAGAAAGAGGAGAGGAAACAAAGATTATGACATAAACAGAGTATATGATTGCACAAACAGGTATAGCAATATATAATACAGGTCTCCCTCTAACTGAAGACCACCTCCAATTAACGACCCTTTTCTGTGGCCCCAAATGAACAACTGTCTTATTTTTATTATTCTAATTAAAGACCAAAGCTGCTAAAGACCATGTAAACCCTGGGCCCAAAAGTGGTCCTTAATTGGAGGGAGCCATGTACTATTATATTACCATAATGTTAATAATAATACAGGTCTCCTCCAATTAAAGACCACTTTAGGGACCAAGTTTTTCATGGTCTTTAGCAGCTTTGATCTTTAATTAGAAAAATATCATTATACAGATAAATGACTGGTGTTCATGCAAGACCAGAGAGAAATTGGTTAGTAATTGGAGGTGGCCTTTAATTGGAGGAAGAACTGTATTATATAATAATCTTTAGAACCATTTGCCTCCTTTAATAGCCAATGCATTAAACTCCATACCCCATAAATATACATATCAAATACATTTCATTTTTTTAGTGTTGCTTTACAGTTTTTTTTAACACAAAATTCACTACTAGCTAGTTTCAGAATCCATGCACATTATTATAGACATTATCATGTATCTTTTAACTGGCGAGGTTTTTTTTTTATTTTAGTTTTCAATAAAAGACATTACTTGCTTAAATTACACAAAGTATGCAATTAAAATATTTAATTTGTTTGTTTAAATTTATATTTCTCATATATATACACATCATGACTATATATGGGCATACAACAATTTTTTTGTCAAAAAAAATTGATATTATGATCAGAGGAAATCTTGGCCTGGTGTGAATTGGCCTTTAAAGTTACAAAATATCATTAAAAGATGAAAGTAAGTTTGCATGGTCATGCTAGGGCAATCTTGTTTTACACGTAAAACAAGATTTCTCAACAAATTGATAAACAGATAATTCCTAACACGACCAAAATAATCCATATGAGAAGTATCCAATATTGTATGGCTGGTTTGTCTAAGTACTGTTGTTCAGGTGTGTATATCTGTAAAGGAATGTCTAATCTTTTAACATGTTCATCTCCCATTCTGGAGTGGGATTATATTTAACATTTAAATATTGTTGTTCTTCGCTTCTGACCTTATCTATATTATCACTACTGCGACATATCTCTTTTTGTATAACAGTACAGTGCTTTCTTATTTAACTTTATTTTGCTTTGGTCCATGTATTGTCGACATAGCAAAATAAATGTCTATATTCTCTCAATGACAATGAGATGAAGATTAATGGACTGATTGATTGGAAGTACTGATCCGAGTCACTCGCTGAGCTGTGAATATACAAGAATGGAAGGTGGAGAACCAGAAATATCAAGGAGTGCCTGGTACAATCACAATGGCAATCAAAAGTGAGTATTAATACAATTGGTGCTACGGTCCTAAATTCTGAAATTGATCAGTAACATTAAATTCCTTGGATGCCTCTCCCCTCCCCTCCTTAATTTTAAAATATCAAATAAATAAAAAATAGGTGGGATGGACCCTCCATCTGTCTCTCCCTAGGCCCCCTCTAAGAATTTCTTGATCCACCACTGTAAATTATTCTACTTTATTCATGGTACTGAACAGAAATTACTATTATTTTAAAATTCCTACGTGTATTCCTACTGTTCCTACATGTATTCAAATTTTATTCGCTTCAAATGAATGTTTTTATTCTAGCAAACTGATTACACCTACTCTTAATTGCAATAATGCAAAAGTACAACAAATAAGTTGGTCTTGTGGGGTTATACTCAATTAAGAGGGCAATTGTAGATTAGTATTGCCTTGCTTACTACGAATATTCTGTTAACTTCCAACTACATTAGCTGGATAAAATGATTACAAATATGATGAAGTGCATCATTATATTTCTGAATTAAAATACCAGAAAGCTTGAGGGGTGACTGTACTGTACAGATCATTAACCTAGTTATGTAAAAATTATGGAATATTCATGTACATGTCAGGTTTTTTTTTATAGTTTTTAAATATTGTATTTTTATTGTGCATTACAGTAAAGTACATACATAGAGAAAACTGAATTAATGTAGACTTCGTCAAGAAGGGAAAATATTGTAAATATTGTTTATGCCGTTTAGGTTATTGTTTAAAATGAATAACATTAATAAGCAATGAACATGCATAAAATACTGTATGACATCATCGTTACTAAGCATGCATCCCAACATGCACTGGGTATCATTAATATCTTTCATTATTATTATTTAAGATTTAAGCTGCAAGGAATCATACTAAATATGTCAACTTGTGCAAGTACAGAGTACGCATTCATCTAACAATTATAATACAGTAAATTATTACATTAGCAAAAAAACACATAAAATAGTTTTAAAATTAATAAATTATCCATAAAAAATTAACACTCTTTTAATAATAAAACTCAATTATACATATAAAAAAACCCCAGAATATTATACACACACAACATAAATAAATAAATATAAAAATAAACAAAATGCAGAACAAAATAGCAAAATTTAAAATCATGATAGCCTCCATTAAAAAAAAAAAACTCTTAATAAAAACAGAATAAAAGCAAAAAAATGAGTGTCTTGCACTAATAAAAATTTCAGTAACACAGTAATGTACACTCGGCAAGTATTTGGCTTATAGGGTAACATTTTTTCAGATCGATGTTTAAAAAAATCTGTGATAAAACCTGGAAAAGTCTCAAAAATCTTATTACTCTAGTCTACATTAAAAGAATGTAAAAGTTACCAACTTTCAGCAAGGTACAAATTAAAAAACAAACAGTTTTATTCATTTTAAGAATGTTTTACTATTAATTATTTAAATGGATTACCATTTTTGCTACTTAATTCATATACAGTATGCAAAGAATACTGTTTATACAGTGTTAATTGACATTGAAAATACTTTTTTTTGTTTAATTTTAAATTGAAGGATACAAACATATATAGAATAAAGGAATTCATATAATTAATTGTATTGTGGAAAGTCGGTAACACACGCTGCTGACGGTTGTTAGCCAACGCAACCCCATAAGGAATGACACACAATGACGTACGTCCAATGGATCATTTTTAATGACGACCCGCTATGACTGCCACCAGCGAATGGTGTTGCGCCATCAAGAGCACAGATGAATTTGCCGGCCGACTTTTATAAACATATGACGTAGCATGTGTCCAGCTTAAACTGTATGTATAAACAAAAATGCCACCTAAATAATATAAATTTTCAATACTTCAAATTTCTTAATTTATGCATCTTAATGGATTATTAGTGAACACCTGCAAAGTAAAAGAATAAATTTTCTCCATCCATTAAAAAAAATTCAATTCTCCATCCATTGACATTAAAAAAAATTCAATTAATAAACACTATAGTCTTTGCACATACCTTTAAATTCCTGCCAGCAATTTTTTTTAAATTTTTATAGTTTAGAACATCTTTAAATTATTGAAAACTGCCCCTTTTAATGACTTCCTGAAAGTTGGTAAAGTATGTGGTTCTTTTAAATGAGGAACTCAAATATTTATTTTTTTGAGGATTTTCCTTGATTTGTTTGGGTGGTGATATAGATTTAAGTCTTACAATTATAACCCAAGATGCATAAAGCAAATGAGCAGCTAAAAAACAAAAATCAACAACTAGATACTCATCCACAAACTCTTTCAACTTATAAAAAAACATAATCATAAATAACAATCTTCCATTCTCAACATAAAATTTATACAATATTGACAAGACATAAATAATATATAATCCTAATATAACTATATTGTTTTTGATTATAAAATGCATAGCAGCACAACAGTAGAAAAGCCAGAAATGTTAGCATTGGTGGTAATCAGTACAGACATTGTAGAAGTTGTCAGGAGTTCTGACTGTCAAAACCATGCTGCGGTCGTCTAAGAACCTTGAAGATCTCCGTAAAAAGTTTCTTGTACTCAGGTGGTCGGTCCTCAAAGTGGTCATCTACTGGACATGGTTCCTCAGATTCTACCATTTCTTCTATGACCTTTTGGTTTGTTATATTTGATCCTTTGAATTTAATTTCTTTTGTTTCGTAATGGCGTAGATCTTCTAATGACGTACTGTGTCTTTTCTTCTCTGAATTATTAGACTGCGATTTACTTCCTCTTTCGTGCTTTCGTCTGAAGCTACTTGCTCGTGGACGAACACTGTCCTCCTTGAAGGAGCCACTTCGGCTTCTCCTCAATAAATCATTGTATTTATCCATTAGTACACGGTATTGCGCGTCTATTTCTCCCATCAAGGAGATACCCTCTGCTTTTGCTTCCACTTTTGAATTTCCCGAGTTACCGTCTGTTGTATCTGGAGCCACCTTCGGCACTGCATTAGGCAGAGACCGCTTCTCTTCCGTGATCACTTCCAATTTTTCATTCATATGAATTATTTCCTGAACTCTAAGATCTGGTTCCGGGTCATCCTCGTTTATCAGACTATCACAATATTTACAAATAGCTTCGTTCTTATTCTCAAAACTAATGTACTCTTTTTCAATTTCTTGTAACTGGGCGCGAACAGCCATCTCACGAATCTTCTCTTCTAAATCCGCGTTTTCCTTTACTAGCACCGCTATTTCTGACTCTAAATCATCCTTACCTTGTTCCCACTCAGCCTCGCGGTTTTTAAAATTTTTAATCGTTGCTTTCAATGTGAAGACTTCGTCTTCAAATGGATTTGTGTCACTTCGGATGTCACCAAGATCAAAACTGTGCGCTCTCCTTATTGGGAACCACAGAGTTACTCCATTTGTCTTTTGCTTCTTTCTGCCTTCCTTTAATTTTTGTTTCTCTACTTCTTTAAGCTGTTCTACATGTTTTTGTTGTTCGCGTAATTTTACTTCTAATGATTCGACACTCTCCGACATTCTGCAAATCACAAAAATTATTATATTAGGCAAATTATTGGTGGTTATTATGATCTAATACAAACCTACCTATATCATACTGTAATTTGAAAAAATTATGAGTAATGTAGACGTTGTAGGTAGGTAGTCTTGGTCTCAGTGGAAAGGTACTATAGGCGAAAGAGAGTGGAGGGTTATTCTAGTATTCTCACATTACCTTGTGCCATTTCAGCCTTGTGACCAGGATACCATTTCAGCAGTGACATTTTAATTAAAATGAAGTACATCAAGATAACAACAGAGCCTTGTAAACACATCTTAGCACCATCTCAGCAACAAACTTTGACACTTTGTGCTGCTGGTACATATTGACATCCCATGGGTGTTGTTTTTTTTGTTTTGTTTTTTTAAACCATATTTATATTGAGAATGACCCTTCCAGCGTACTGTATCCTAGAAGGTTGGCTGATATTCAGATGCCGTCTTAAATAAATTAAACACTCTGATGCATTTATCAGCGATGTGTCTTTATGAGGCTTTGGGAGTGGAGTTTTTAGTTGTGAGAAAAAGTCCTACTGTCACAGGAGTTGAACCCAAGACCTTAGGATTAGAAGGCAGGCAACCACTAAGCTTTTCAACTTTACTGCATACTAAGTTTCTTTTTATGTTATTTAAACTTTGTGAGACAGTACATAATGGTAACAATTGAACCTTATGCAACACTGGTACATCATCATGCCCTATATTATGGTACCATCCCAACAGTGCCTTATTGTATGTCATTTAACTTGGTAATACACCATGACACAACAGGCAATCAAATATATTACTCGCAATAGTGAGCCAACATACTGTAAAGTATACTACAGTAGGAAGGATGTAGAAGGCAAAGTAAGCTTAAAAGTATATTATTAAATGATTATAGTAGCTGATACACTAAAAAGGACATTAAACCATTACTGCCTCATTATGCCATAAATAATAAACAACCTGTATTTGCACATGAACATTCCTGTGTTTAGACACGTGTATACAATTATAAACATTTTCGCAACTGTACAAACAGTATTCTTTTCCTTACCCCTCCCTTCCCTCCCTTTCGCAAAACCAACCTCAATTTTTTTGTGAAATCAACTAAATTATTGTAGTTGGCTGCCAAAAAATGTCTACTATATCCATGGTTGCATTATAATTGGTCATAGAAATATATTGCATATTATTCTGAATCAACCTTTTCATGCGTATGTGAAAGTGTACAAATTTGTCTACTCCTCCCCCCAGCATACTGTATATGAACTTTTGAAAATGTTGATAAGTGACTCAACAGTATACAGTACATCTCACACTGTGCACAGACTTCTCTTTGCAATACTCAGTGCACGCGAGACTTTTTCACAATTTTGTTTTTGCAATCCACAATTTCTAAAATACTATCACAGGAGAAATATCAGATTCTATCCTAAGACATGCCCATAAAGAACATGTGACGATGTGATGCAAACAAAAATAAAATGCTTTACATTGAGAAACTGAAAAGATTTCTTAATTTGGAAGACTTCAAGATGGTGGGTGTAATAAAAATAAATAAAAAAATGTTTTTTTATGAAATTTTCATCTTCCATGATGATGGATGAGCTAACAAGCCTGAAAATTATCAGTATTAAGTGGCAGATTCAAGGGGCCCCAGCCGGCCTGGGCCAGTCATACTTTTCAGAATTCAAAAAAATAAAGGAAAAAAAGAAAATTATTCTAAATTTTTAAGTCTGAGAATGCTATTTCTGGGCCCTTAGTGGTGCCATAATCATAAATTTTGTTAAACGACACTGTGACGACACTTGCGTGACACTGTGACGACACTTGCGTGACACTCTATACTTACCGAACCATCTTCTGATTATACATTTTATTTTCATGTTCCAGACGTTGGTTGCACTTCTCTAGCTCCTGGACATTCAAGTCCAATTGTTCATAAACTCTTGCTTTTGATTCGGTGACATCACGCAGGATTTGCAGTTGCTTTTCTAGATACTGTATAGCAAAAACATTAAAAACATTCTTTAATTAAATAATTTATCATATTATTTAACTCTACAAATACTGTACAAAGCTACCATCCTGTACACACAATATTTACAGGCTATTTTATACAGCATCTTATCTGACTGATAGATGAAAACTAACAAAATCCAATAGTAATGCCAGTGCCTATAGAGGGAATAATAATAATAATAATAATAACAATAATAATAATAATAATAAATAATAATAATAATAATAATAATAATAATAATAATAATAATAATAATAATAATAATAAAAATAATAACAATAACAATAATAATAATAATAATAATAATAATAATAATAATAATAATAATAATAATAATAATAATAATAATACTGGAATTTATACCGTGCCTTTTTGCCAAGGGATACAAGGTGCAATAAAAATAAATAAAAAAGATAACAAAGTGATCAACAAAGACACCAGAAATGACAACAAAACAGAAAATTTGGACAGTTCAGTGAGATCTACTATAGGGAACAAATGTTTCTTAAGACTAATCCAAAGCCTAGGTTTCCGTGTCCTCTGGGTGAAGCAAATGAAAAGGCATTATCACTAGCTTGTTTAGCCAGAGGTATACGAAGGCAAAAGGAACCAGATGAACGAAGATTACGGCCATGGCGATATTGATGCCTGGAGGTACTGTAAGTGTACAAATGTAAGCAGGGGTACCATTTAGGCAATTAGGAGACATGCAGGGTTGTTTATAAAATTAACGGTGGGTTGTAAACATATTAAGGTAGGGCTCGATTTAGTACTAGCCCGGCGTACAATGTCTAGTAATTGTCGCTAAAAAATATTTTGAAACAAAATTTTTTCCTGTCTGTGGGCTAGTAAAATATTCTCTGGGCTAGTAAAATCTCTAGTAAACTAGCCCAGTGGGCAAGTTACCAAAAAAAGTTAGGGCAAGCCCTGTAAGGGTGGGTAGGAAATAACATTGGTACAGTCAACTCTAAATAGTAAGAGTGGATTACAAGGATGGGCAAAGAGGTTAATAAAGGTGGGTAGAGGGCCATTAAATTAGCTTTAGATTGGTTGGAAAATTTCAAGACTGGTTGCCCCGTTTAACTTTGCCCATCATAACTACATCTCTGGACATGTTAGGCTTAAATCCACTGTTTTAACCAGCAGAGTTAACAGCACAGCAGAGTGATCTTCAATCTGTATCAAATATTTCATGAATAAATATTGTCTTCATGAAAATTCTGTATGCATACCAAGTCCCCAAGAGAATACAATCATACATAATGCATTTAACAATAATATAAGACACAGTAAACTAAAGACAACATTCACATATCAAATTTAAAATTAGAATCCTTTCATATTATGTTCCTACTGTATCCTATCTGCTGAATATTTAATGAAAAACAATATATTTAGTTCCTTGTGTCATTATGAAAATCAGAGATTGTATTAAGTACTGTTCCGACCGAAATACAATATGATAATACAGCATAATTAACAAAACCTAATTAGCTAAACTACAGTCCCATACAGTAGGTCAGAGGTTAATAATAAAATCTTAATTGAATGGTTACGCAACACTTAATAGCAATACAATCTTCCTGCCAGCATAATGAATGAATAATTGATGTATCCGTACCACAATTTGCATAGCCTGTTCGTCCGCCAATTGTTGAGTGGATATCAAATTAGCTTCCAACTCTTTGTTTCTTTCCAACAACGTCTTTCCCAGCTCAGCTGCAAGGTGGAGATCTATGAAAGAAAGATTTTCATTGGTTAAAATCATAGTTTTAATTTTCGCATCAATTAAGATTTCATTGACATCAATTAGAGTATGCTTAGTGCATTTGACCATTAATTCATACAATAAAATTCTATAATAAATTATTATGTATTTAAAACATGTTGATGTTCTCAATATAATAAATGCATTTGCTTTAAATCTGCCTTAAATAGATTTGATTTCTGTACATGAAGATTGCCTCAATCTTCATGTACTGGAAGCAAAAAAGAAGTAAATTGAAATTTGTTATAAAAATTATACTTATGTCTACTAATGATATTGGTTTTGCTATTAACAGGAGTTTGATGACCAATTAGATACTGGAGCTCATAGTCCTTTCTAGACATGCCCCTCCTTGGTAATAATTAAAAAAAAAACAATTTGTGCAAAGAATGGTTGTTATTTTAATGATGGTACATTAAGTAATTTAAATGTCATCAAGCATTTTCATTCATAATGACATTCCAAGAAAATAATGTACACAAAATGTTTAAATTTTGACCAATTATGTGAATGCAATTTAAATATTATATATTACTGTAGCACACCTAAGATGAAAATATGTTCTGATCAAATTACAGTAAGGGAAAGAAATGGATTTTAGAATACTACAGTAGTAATTACAGTATTAAATTATTCAGTATGAATAATAAGTTGGACTTGTACTGCATATTGTGTATCATGCAAAAAGCCTATGTGTTGGTTGATTGATTTCCTTGATTATGATAGCACATTTACTATTGTAAAAAATTACTGTACTCTGTTAAAAAAAGCTATGAAAATAATTGTTTACTGTTAAACAAATAATCGGCTTTTCATTATTGGATCCTTTGCATTTGTTTTCTTTTGCACTTAAACAACATTTCTTAATTAATGACTAAATTAAAAAATTAAGAAATTAATAAATAAATAAAATAAATACATAATCCGGTAACTTCACACGACTTCTAAGTACAGGTTGTTGTGCAGCTCAGTGTGTTTCATTCAGTTTACTTAATATATTTTAGTAAGAATTTTTCTTTTTAGATAATAAGGGTAAAATTTTACTGTAAATTGCTTGGTTTTGTTTTTGTTATGCTATTTATCCTTTTGTTGTTTTTGAACTGTCTTTTGCTTTCCTTTGCTTATATTTTATATTGTTAATGGGTGCACCATCGAAGTGATGGGTGCCACTGATCTAAAAGTGAACCCAATAAATCGTATCGTATCGTATTGATACAACTAAAACAAAAACATATACTGTAATTAAAAATGTCATTGTTACTGCACGGACAATGGATAGTTATCTACTATTATTCCTCAACAGTATGTTCAGCTTGGCTTCAATGTACATACTGTAGATGACAGATCTCCATATGGTTTGATTATCTAGTACTATTAATACCGCGATCTTTTGATCAATAAACAACTATATCATGTTGACCTCATAAATATGCATAAACATCTGCTACTGTAGGCAAATACAACACTGTTAAAGCACAACATGCACTTGAAAATAATACATTTGGCTTGACTGGCTTCATAAATAACAAATATTGTAATACTTAAGGAAATGAAACATTACATTATAATGCAGGAAACAAAACATTATAATGCAGGAAATCATGGAGATGAATTTTACTGACTCTATGTTTAAGCTAAATACCTACACTTGAACAGTAAATATAACAATTTTAAGTACTTAAAATAATAAATTTTTACATTACATATTAACTTTTTCAATGAAAAATTTCAAACAATTTCTAGTGCTATAAAATAATATTTATTGTACAAACCCTTAAATTGGTTGGCAGACAATTTAAGAAAGTGTAGAATATCTGTAAATCAACCAAAATGGTTTGTTCATGTCTCTATGGTTCTTATTTATATTGCTGATGTGTACTGTACACAAAGAAAGGCACACACTTTGTGTAAAAAGAATTATTATGGAACATACACAGTTGTTCTGGGTACACTCACCGCTCGATCCACCTTCTGGTTGTAATATTTTGAAAAAAGGAGAATGAGGGCACTTTTTTTTTTTTGGATTCCGAAATGGCAAATCCAAGATGGTCGATGGGAAACACTACAGCTACTACTTTTTCACTTTTACCAAGGAGACACATTGAAAGCAAACTAGAAATCACTAGACATGATTCATACCATATGTATCCCCAACCATGAACGATTGAGAGAGGAATTTTACCGAGGTTAGTTAGAAAGATTTTTCGAACATTTCATAAAATAAAGGAAATTAATTAACAAAATAAATTAAAAAAATTTGAGAGGCAGAGAAAATAGATGAGCGAGGGGTAGGGTCACTTTTGGGCCTTTCATTCTTGGAGTCGGGGTACTCTTCTTAGTCTTTGGGTCCATACCCTTTTTCCAAGATTTCAGATTTGTATGTTATGTACTGTATTTTTTAATTGCACAGATGAATCATCTTTTGAAATCGAAAAACAAGTTCAACATGAGAAGACACATTATTTGTCAAGACCTATAAACCTGCATCTTCAATAGGCCTATTTACTAAAAAGTGTTATGCCTTATGCCTGCCATCTATTCTACTATTTCTAAAAAATATATCTATTTCAAACAATAATCTATTTATTTAGCCTAGGCTAGGCTTAATCCAATTAAATGTCAACATAGGCAAAGGCCTATTATTATTTTAAAAATTAATCACAGTTTTCAAATAACGATTGTTATATGATGAAAGAAATTTAAGCCAAACTTGAAAGCTTAATGAATTAATTAATTATAGACCTACAACAGGCCTAAGCCTAGGCCCTAATTAGCCTAGTAGGCTTAGCCTAGTAATGTTAAAAGGCCTACAATGACAGATAGGCCTAGGCTAGGCCTAGTGATCTTATTCTTACCGTTCTCAAACATGCCGTCCATCTGTACGTCATCCAGAGAATCATCTTCCCCTGCTGAGTCGCCTAGCGTTTGTCTTGCCAAAACACTCATTTTATTACACTAAATACTAATTACCACTTTTAAATCAAAATCAGGACATTTAGTAATTTAAGGAGCCCATCTGCGCCTCAATAGAAATACTACTTCAACACATAATGACTGACAAAATAAACATTATTTACACAAAGCAGCCTATACACCAAACTGTGAATCCCTGTGTTGTGACCAGTTGACCTCATTCATCGGGCGATTTCCTTCTACACGCTTGACCTATGACGTAATTCCAGACGTGGCAAATCCAAAGTGCTCTGGTTCCCGATTCACTCTATGCCGCCGACCAACCACACACCATTAGCAGTAGGGACGCGCTTTAGACTCCGGGAACCATTCTTCAAAAAGGGGCGTGTCAATGTTGTATTAAAAAAACAACAAAACCACACACTGAATTGGAAAGCATGGATATACGGTTTGATGGTAAAAAGGCCTTAGTGACGGGGGCTGGAAAAGGTTGTTATTATATTATCTATAATTGTTAAAAGTATAATGCTAAGCCTAATAAAGCATAACTGCAATCAGTGACAGTGACAGACGAAACATGCATGAGCTGACTTTTGGGCTAGGCCCTGGCCTACTACTATCTAAGTAGGCCTAGGCCTAGTAGTAGACTAGGCCTGGCCCTAAAGGCCTGCCTAGGGCCAGGGGCCTACACCATAGCCCAGCCTAGGCCTAGGTGCGCTAGAGAACAGATAGAGAGAGACCCAGCCAGCCAGGCCCCAGACCCCACCGAGGGTCTTGGAAGCCTGTACAGAATGCTGCTTTCTACTTCTGCTACTACTTCCATACTCGGCGTACTTCTCAAGTCACAGGATATTTTTTACTTAAAAAAATAAATACGTCTGTTGGTTCAACAGGATAATTTCCTTTGTATGGTGAGCATCTTTCTAAATGCTAAACAAAAATATTTTTAATAATGTTGAAATATAACTGCTGCATAAATATCAATAGCCGCTTGTTCAATTATTTCTTGAAGGTATTGGAAGAGATACTGTGAAACTTCTTGCAAAATGCGGAGCTGATGTGTATGCACTAAGCCGTACTCAGTCTGATCTGGATAGCCTTAAAGCCGAGGTATATAAAGAGATATTTTCAGACCATTCCATGCTTATTTTGTTAAGTATAACAATGCTAATATCAGTGATATCCCTTCCTTCACACCCAGGTTCCCCAACTGAATTAAAAATACTAGAGACAAGCACTAAAATATATTACACTCAGGTAGTTAAAAATCACAGCATACTGCTAAGCCCCCTCGACAACTTTCTTATTGTTCCTGCTTCATCAGTACCCAACCCATGTCAATACTGCTTGGTATGCCACTATTAGAGAGCAGGACAACGTGTTGGTAACCTTTCCATAGTGGAGTCCATGCATCCTCATCTCAAAGTCCGCACACCCAAATGGTCAGAATTAGTGCAGTATTTCTTTGTGCCATGTTTATTTAGAATAAGTAGTTACTACAAAGTTTGGCAAAACTGTTTTGTTTATATATTGTTTTTAACTGGATATGAAATAAAGAATGAAAATAACAGTAGATTTTATATCAAATCTTGGTTTCGTGAGGTTCTTTCCTGTTTTATTTCTATATTATTGGTTTCAGGTACCAGAAATAAAAACAGTTTGTGTAGATCTTAGTGATTGGGACTCCACCAAGGTAGCCGTGGAAGGATGTGGCCCTATCGACTTGTTAGTAAACAATGCAGCCATTGCGAAGTTGGAACCATTTCTTGAAGTGACAAAAGAGGTATTTGACCTGTAAGATTGAAGTTTTCAAAATGTTTTTTAAAATATCAAATAAAAAAAGCTGTAGTTAAATACAGTAAAAAGTATTATGTTTTAATGATAAAATATCACTCTAAATATTTGTTTATGTAATGGGATATCTGTATTTTATGACAATTGTAAAGAGTATTTCATTTGGAATACACTTAAATTATTATTATTATTATCTTATTTTAAATGCATGATATATTCTTATGTTATTACCACACAAATTAAAAATTAATTTTGAAGAGATGTCAACTTTTTCATTCCAAAATAATTTAAAATAATGTTTTAAAATTTTATTTTATATTTATTTTATTATATTTATTTTTATTTAGTAATTTATATTATGTTTCTTATCACTGTACCACTTTGAAAATCAGTACTATAGTACTGAAAGTGCCCACAGTATAAAGAAAGAAAAATAAATAAATAAAATTTCTGTTTAATATTCAAATAATTTCTTCTGGTTTTGTTTGGTTTGTTTGCTTCGCTAAAACAGTTCTACAGTTACTATTTAAATAATTATTTCGTCAACAGAACAATGAATGTAAATGTTCGGCAGCTTATCCAGGTATCTCAGGTAAGACTGTTAACATAAAATTATAAACAATACTGCCTGTCTACTGATTGGGTTAGCATTGTTTTATTCTAAACAATAGTGTTTTCTGAGTGGATAATTATGAGTTATTATAAACAATACTGTAAACCGATTGGGTAAGCATGACTTATTACAGAAATGCTGATATAACAGCTGCAGTGAATATCTGCTCATTTACAGTACGTTTGTTTTCATATATGAAAAACAGATTTGCTCAATTAGTGTATAAAGTTATAATTATTGTTATTCTTTATATTAACAAATCAATAGAGCAACTATGATATACACTGGAATCAAATTACTATTTGCCAAAGTTATGAGTAAAAGTATTATGACTTCTCTGTACCAAAGTACACAATACTGCTGCACATTTTTATGATTTTAATTACTCAGTTAAAAATTTTGCGACAATATGCTGGTTATTGGATGGCAGGTTATTGGATGGCAAGCCTCATATATACTGTAATATAATATATTACATGGAAGACACCTTTGCTGATTAATGTTGATTCAAACTTTGATTTTTAACAAACAACTTGAATAAGAATTGGTTTAATTTCTTACAGATTGTTGCTAGGGGAATGGTTGAGCGTGGCTTAGGTGGCAGTATTGTGAATGTGTCAAGTCAAGCTTCCCTTGTTGGGTTAACAAACCACACAGTTTATTGTAAGTTTAATTAAAAAAACAGTTATGAATCTTAATCCTTTTGTACTGTATTAAGCAGGTCATTTACTGAACCCCACCGTTGTCGGCGACGCAATTCTCTGAAGAACGCAGCACAACAAGTGCGCACCGGGTTGTTTTAAATGACAATCTGTTCAGACTGCCATTGATAATGAGCAGACGGCATCCTGGTGTCTGGTGCTCATAGGGAGCAGAGTTGGAATTGTTGTGTGATGGTCGTGCCACACAATGAATGCCCAGCTTAAGTTGAGGCCTAGCTTACCTGTCATTGAAACACATCAGGATTTATGCTTCCCTGCACCAACATGCCACAAATGTTGCTTAGTCGTTTAACAAATGTAACTCATTTTTCTTGCCTACCAAATGAAAGACCTGACAGCTTGTGCAACAAAAAAAATCAATAGGGCCCTCATCAACCTTAATGCCATAGGACCAAGTCTTAAACTTATATATGCGATAGAAATTTCAAAGATTTATTTTGTCATGTTTTTGAAAACACAGGTGCAACAAAGGCTGCTGTTGACTCCCTGACAAAAACAATGGCACTCGAACTGGGTCCAAAAAATGTAAGTAGGAACGGTTTGACACAGTGTTTGCGGTTCTGCTTTTCAAACATGAGGTCGGAGGTTAATTAAGTCCCTCGCTGTGTATTTTGCTTGTGTACTTGAGCAGGGCACATTACCTACAGCTGTCTCTCTCCACCCAGGAGTACAAGTTGGTACCTGGTGGGTTCAAAATAAAAAATGCACTGATTACAGCTGCAACATTATGGAATTCTCACAAGGGACCTGAGTATGTGTTCCATTATGTGATTGATCCAATGACCGGGGTAATAATGCATAGAGGTCTCTGCTATATGCGCTACATAAGTTGACAATTTTTATATATAGGTAAAACTAGGATATTGTTGTCATTGCTAGTTTTTGACATGAGCAGTTCCTTTTTTTTTTTTTATTCATTTATTACGCTTCAAAATTGTAAACATTCACAAAACAATTTGGAAGCTGTATTATGTTTCAACTTGTTTCTTTAGATAAGAGTGAACTCTGTGAATCCAACAGTAGTGAACACAGCTATGGGTAAGATAGGCTGGAGCAAACCAGAGAAGGCCGAGCCAATGAAGAGGCGTATACCCCTAGGCAGATTTGCTGGTAAGTTGTAAATTCTGGACATCAGCATATTTCGTCCAGGGGATGAGGGGAGCCAGTAGGGGCCAAGTGGTGGGCAGGGGAGCAGAATGCGAGACCAATATCGATTAAATAAGCCTTTCAAATCCCTTTGGGCAAATCCATTGGGCAAATCCTGGTTCCCCAACTGTGGGTAGAATGGCCTATAAACATAAGTATGTTAACAATACTCTCAGTACATCCCCTCAGGGGTCCCAAGTTGAAGGAAAGTGATCCAACTTTGATGACTATGTCTATAATTATTGAAGTAACCCTAAAACATCGTATTTGTATTATTTAATATTATTATGGTTAGGTTCACAATACAGTCTTAATATCCAGAACGAGAGCTAACAGTTAGCCCTAACCGTTAGCACGAAATGTGAGAAATTCTGAATGGTTAGCGCTAACTGTTACCAGGTGGATACACCGTAACGTTTAGCGAGTATTGTGGGTTAGCATATCTATCATTAACCAGTCAGATGTATGCATTTCCAATATCTGATTGCCTATTGGCCAGTTATCTTCTTGATATCTGGATCAGGGATTTTCTGTATAACGCAATGGTGAGCATGTATGTTATTAATCTTGATCCTGCTAACCATTAGCTGGTGTGTGTGTGTGTGTGTGAACAAGCCCAAATTTCAGAATTAATATTATGAACATGATTTTGTTTCTATTATTATTACAGAGGTTGAAGAGGTTGTGCATGTGATTCTATTTCTTCTGAGTGACAAGAGCTCAATGATGAATGGCACTTGTCTGCCAATAGATGGCGGTATGTCAAGCACCGGAGTGTGATTGGAGCAGTCTTGACCAACAAGTACTGTTAGCCATGTCTCATGGCTTCAATAATAAATTTGAAATAATGTGACAATGTTTCCACGAAAACCTGGACTAAGTCACAAGTTTACATTCGGAGAAAATCAATAACTAAGTTGTCGGGTCACATATTATCAAGTATGATACTGAAAACTAAAGTTACAAATTTGTTTACATTTTGTAACTGTTCACTGTGCATGCGCTCATTCGCAAACTGTGCAACTTTTTTGCGAATGAACTTTTTACCAAATTATAAAACAAAACATTGAAAAAATTATATTGATGATGGTGACTATTGTGATTCTTATGGTGAGGCAGACAGTAATAGTACTGATATTGATGTTGGTTCTGCTTTTGGTGGCAGTGATTATGATGATAATAGGCCTACCATGGAAATTGTCTGACCATCTGACCACCCACACCATGAATACAGAACTTGTGCTAAGATTTATAGATGTATGGATGATATTTTTTTTGGCGTAATTTTAATGATTTCTTTGAGGTGCCTCTGAACAATTTTTATTGGAAGAGGAGCTATATAAATAAGATACATAATTATTCTTAAGACAAATTGAGGAATCATTAAAAAACAGAATTATGCAAGATATGTAACGCAGTGTCTTTCTGAGTTGTTTTTATTACTGACACAAATTTAGTTGATATTTGCCCTCAAATAGCTCTATGATAGCAGAACAGAAGTTGGAATAATATCAAAATACTATATTGTATCTGTTGTCACTGATGTATTGACTTTTTCGTTTTTCCGCTTCTTTTTCTTTGTTTTCTTTTTAACTTTGTTCATTTTTCTACTTTCCAAATTTATCTCTGCTAGTGAATTGGGATGTCTTTTCATTCCTCTTGAAATCAGGTTCAGAGGTTGACTGTAATCTTGACAGAGCGAAGGTAGGGCCGCCAGAGAGCACAAGTTGGAAGGGGCGTCCAAGTAGTCTTGATCACTGATAGAGCTTGTGTCAGCATCCAAATCTCTCTTTATCCACTCGATATTTTGAACCAAACCTCCAAACGCTTTTTCAATTCGATTTGCTAGGTTGCGTAGATCTGGTTTACCCCTGGTTCTTGGCGTCTGCTTTATGGTTTTAGGACGGATTGAGTATCGCATCATCTCCCTCATTTTTTTACATTCTAATTGGTCCGTCAATTTCTTATTCTCGCGTTCGTCGTCTGCTTTCCTTGAGCATTCCCCCATCCAAGTTGTTGATTTTGATACATTTTCCAAAAATCTGTTATGGTTTGCCGCCAATTCTTCAATGCGTTTTTGTCCAAACGAATCGTCCAGTGATTCATCCGAGAACGAGTCAAGCTCATTCGAGATTTGAAGTCGCTCTTTGGTTTTGGATTTACTGTACGGTTGTTTACCTCTTCGATTTTCGTGCTTGGTTGTTTTCCGTCTTGTATTCTTCATCTTCTTCCTCTTATGTCTTATCTCGATTTCAGAACTAGAGGCTGGACTTTCCTTACCCGATGGAATTTCTTCTATAATTTTACTCATTCGTTGAAAAGGGTTATAGTCAGAATGCGAGGTCTTGGCTGATATCATCTCATCGTATCGCCGTAGCAGCTGATTCGTGGGGCTGGTGGATGTGCCATCTGCATCATTCCATGCAACTAGTGCTCCCTGCTGGTGTTGGGATCGCTCTTCTCTAGACGTGAATTTCCCACTTGTTTTTGCCTTTCCTGGATACGGATCGTCTATAGGTAGTTAAAAATAAACAAAATGTTATTCTCGGAATACTAATATTAATAATGCGAGGGTGAAAGGAGTTGCCAAGGGATTCGAGCCCGTGCATTATGTTGCATAGGTCCACAGACGCTTTAACTGGGTTGCTGGTACTGCGTTTTCAACTTTTTTTTCTACTTCAATTTTTTATGATAAAAATTGCAATAAAAGCTTCTCGTATCGTATAACAAGAATTTGAATCCGATTGAAGGCAACTAATTTCACATTCTTGGTATATGCAGCGTTGAACAGTGCAGTGGCGTATCTAGAAGTCTTGAAATTGGGTGCTGAATAAGGGGCTCGACGATCAGTTGAGGGATAAGGTAAAGGTGATTTCAGGTGATTTTTAACTACTTGCAAGTGATTTTTCTTTGGGAGGGGGAGCGAGTAATTTTTGGAGGGACGTGCGTACCCCACTAGATGCGCCACTGGAACAGTGCTAGTTAACATGTCATGTAACATAAAAGTATTCTAGGAGATCCTGTTTTGGGATACAAAAGCGATGAGGGCGTTTATTAATATAATTAGCTACTTATATAAAAGATTGTTTAAATAAATAAAATACGCTTAATCAATATAAATGATGGACGCTTCTCTTTATACTATGATCACTGCAATAACTTTACTCAATAAATGCGTTATAAACGAAACAATAGAAAACAGGTTGTATTATTGTTAATAGTAAACAAGACATCATGCTTAAAGATAGTCCCAGCATTATTAAACGAATAAATGACTGGAGTTCTATTTTACTAACACAAATTCTGCATTACATAAGGTAAACTTAAATGAATGCAGGAAACAGAATTGTTAACTCTCAAGTCTGCAAATGTAACAACAGATCATCAATGTTTGATTTGCTCAACATGGCAGGATTGAATGTATAGCAAAACCTAACAAAGAACATCAAAGAAAAGACGTTTAAGGTATTTTGCTATCATTTGAGAATACACTATTAGTGTTTGCGTCAAAAGCGCACTAGTGATCGTATCGTTCTCATGGTGTGGCTTAAAGCAATTAGCATGCATTAATTATAACAAGACATAATGAAACTATTGTTGCAGAATAAATTGAATGACATTCTCCAACATTTAAAATGGAAGTTTGTGGAATGCCGCATCCTGTATTTTACGTGGGAGGAATATAGGGAAATTTGTTAGTTTCTATCTTAATGACCCGAGCATGAACCCACTGCTTAAGATGGAAACTAAGAATAAAGACGCACGTCGTGTGGGCTATAAACTTGTTAATAATCGAACCTTAAAGGATACATTTTACGTGAAAATTTTGCTATGCATAATCACATTGACTAATTATGTTCGCAGTGTCTTGCTACTATGATAGCGCACAAACATAATAAGAGCCTAGTTGCCATATATTCGCTTGCCACTAAGCCTAATCAGTGCGCTAATTATTGCTTGCTAAGGGGTTGTTCAGACTCATCCATGTCAGTTCTGTCATAAAGTAAATATACATAAAAATAAATAAATAATTAATAAAAAAATAATAACGCAGAAAAAGGCTACATGTACATTCTGCAGGTGGAAAACGGCGCCTCGAGCATGCAGCTCTACCAAGTGATGGATACGTGCGCCTAATAAGATGACGTTATTATTATTATTATTGTTACCCGTATTCAATCCCCTGCAGGCCTGATACAAAACTGCAAGACGCAGGTGATTCTTCTTCATGTGGTGCATAAGGAAAGTATCTGATGTAATTAGGCTACAGAGACGTTATAAGCCACTGGTGTTTATTGCTTTCACCCACTCATTTCTTGTACGTTGGAAACTGCGTCTAAATTAAGCCGTTTTACTTTAAATGATTTCCTATGAGTCAAATTGATATTCGTATAGCTTAATATAATAACATTATTAATTTTAAGACGCGACATTCCTGTATTTGACGCAATCGGTTGACGCACAACTTCTGTCGGATACGGGGAGAACCGCGCCTTATAATTATGGTGCAGAATTATAAACTAGATAGGCCTATCTTTTCTTTGGTTTTAACCGACAGCTAGCTCATCGAATTTAATATAATATTTTCAATTGATTTAGTTAGACACTAGTTTGGTGACAACCGGGTTGACAACTGATGACAAGTAAGTGACTGGGCTGAATTCGATTCCCAAATGACAGCGGGTACACTGCAGCAGTGATGTTTACAACTGACAAAAGGGGGGAAAATGATTCAAATTCTCGTCGTTAGTCAATTGACGTAATGCATTTAATAACTGATTAATTAATTTGTCGCTGATTAAAATTTCGATAAACTCAATTGATGGTTTGTGGGGAAAACATCTGTTGTGAGTGATTCAACCATGTGGGTGGTTAACGCAAACGATGAATAACTTGGGAGGTAACGATATTCATGTAGTAATCTTCGTCAGGCAAGGTAACTATATCGCAGATCGATTGTATACTTCAATATCGTCTTGAACCTATAAACTTCTATTTGAATTGCTTTTAAAGGCCTATTGACAATTAGAACGAATATAATATTTTCATTGGCAATTTTTAGTAAACCAAAGGAGGAAAACAAAGGATCGGTGTGGGCTCACGGAGGTGCACCCGAAGAGACTATTTTGCCCATGCTTACTTTCTTTTATTATTTTGCATCCAACACTAATTAATCCGCCAATAATTTTATGAGGCGTGTGTAGTGGAGTTGTATTCTAGTTGAGAAATAAGACCTGTCACACAGGAATTGATCCCAACCGCCCCAATGGTTTGCGTAAAAGTATTAAATAAGGGTGTAATTCACTCCTCGTTGAGGGTTCCTTACACATTCTGATCACCTCTTGGAATCGTCAATGCGCGATCGGTGCTTCGGGTATGCCTACAGTAGTAGTTCTTACCTTTTTTCAATAGGTCTTTCTTGCTCATTCTTTCCATATCTTCTCCATTAGTATAAGACAGCAGTTTTTTTAAGTCTACTGATCTATCTATTTCAAAGCATTCCTGTCATGGTTACTGTTGCGTAATTCATGTTTCGAAGCAACAGTTATCACACGCGTGCTTATGAACAGTATCTTGTCATAGTTACTGTTGCGTAGCGAGATCGCGTAGTCTATTTAGCAACAGCCCATTGTGTGTCTCTACGTTGACAAAAAAGTCTCGTTTAAAAGTTCGCAGATCAGTATTTTAACATTTTTTTCTCCACATTTTATCGCAGACATCCTAGATGGTAATAACGGTTGTTTATGCAGAAGACTTTAATAGTAAATTATAATTTATAGTTTTTATTATATTTGCAATAGTATCCATGGATACACCAGTCACCAATGTGTAAAGTCTTTTGCTTGTCCATCCAATGACTTACTGGAATGTAGGTTTATAATCGATGATATTAAAGAGACCCATGTTTTGCAACTGCAGATAATCT